CCTCCCTCCGGTGCTGCAGGTGAACAGGGCGCCGTCACAGGGCCACACCCGGTGCCCCCTGAGCCCACAGGGCGCACCCAGGGCAGGTGGCGTCCACACACCCGGGCCCCAGCTTGTTGGCTGGTGTCCCCTCTTCCCTCTGTGACCAGTGTAGCTTCCCCTGGTTGGAGTTGGATTGGGAGCAGAAAACCAAATGAGATTTAGTTGTCTGTACGGCAGGGTCTCCCACCCCGGCACCAGCTCCCCGCTCCCGAGTCGGGCCGGGGACCGGACCTCGCCCTCCCGTCCTGGGCTCTCCAGCCCTGACTCACCTCCCGGAGCGGAGCGTCGTTCTCCTTCCTGCTCTTCAAAGCTTGAGTTAAGCCCCCTCACTGTTTTTATCATCATTTTCCCATTTTCTCCTCTTCATGATCTTTTTTAGATTTTAGGGGCTAGAGGCAAGTTTTACAAATTTCATCTTGATTCTTCTGGTGCACTTGCTGCCTGTAGAATGGGCAACTATTATTTTTATCAAAAAAAAAAGGTCATTTTTCTTCCAAAAAAATAGAAAAAGTAAGAAGAACATAATATTCCAAAAGAATTTCTAAGCCTGTTCTTTAAACTTTGAACCGTCCACCCCAGAACTGGGGCAACCTGCATCGCAGAGGGTGGGTGAGCGGAAAATGGTGGCCAATGGACGGTCACCCCTACACAGGGTCGGCGTCACGGGGCTGCTGCTTCCCACAGAGAAACCCCGTTTGCCAGGCGCTGCTGAGGGAGGCCCCGTGGTGTGTGCCCCGCCTGCCCCCGCTGGGCAGGGGAAGGGAGACAGGCCCCGGGAGCCCCTTTATCTGAGCCCACAGTGGGCTCGTGGCCACATCAAGTCTAGAACGTGGCCTGTGCCCAAGGATCCTGGGAAGGAGATGGCAAGGGCCGTCACCGCTGGGAGAGTGGGCTTCACGGGACAAAGACCACCCAATCTGACAGTGCACAGCCCTGTGGAGGGGGGTGGGCATGGCTAGCTGAGCAGGCGGAGACCCGGCTGTAGGAGGGGACTCCCTGGGAAGGGACCTGAAGCACACATCGTCCTGTGGTGGAGGCCGTGTGACGGAATGATGGGGCGCGCCCTGAGTGGAAGCTGCGGGGTGCTCACAGGTGCCACGTGTGGGGCTGTCTGGGTTCTTAGGTTCTCTTCCTAGGGCCAGTCCCTTTGATTCCTGAGTGGCAGTGCCTGCTGAGAGAGTTGTGGTCACTGGGACTGGCCCAGAGGGCCTGGGAAGGACTTGGAGCTGAGTCTCCTTGCCACAGTTCGGCCCACGGGGACTTTGGAAGCACGTGCGGCCCCATGAGGACCGTCTTGAGGGCGATGATTGAAGGACGGTGGGCACAGCCTGGGGCCCCAGTGCTGCCCACCTACCCCATGCTGGGCACTGGGCAGCAGCACTGTGGGAGGGGACTTGCTGGGGTGCCCTGTGAGCAGGCAACAGTCATGGAGCTGCTGTGAGAGAAGTTGGCCATGGAGGCTACCGCAGAGCTGAGCCCACATGGGTCAGGACACATGGGACCTGTGGGCAGTGCCGCCGGCACGCGTGGGAGGGGAGGAGGGACCCCATTTGGATTTGGGGTGCTTGTCTGTGTGGTGGGCAGGGGGATGGACAGCTCAGCGACACCGAGGCCAGGCAAAGGACATCCCAGCCAGGACGCCCTGGCGAGTCGCTCCCTGCCTTCCATAAATGCCTGGCATGTGGCATTCTGTCGGGCCAGGCTGGACTGTAGCTGGCCAAGGCACTCTGGAGCATCTCAGCAGCGGCTCTGTTTGGGGGCGACGCTCACAGGACAGCCCGGTGCTGTGTGTGACCGTCCCCTTGCCTGTGCTGCAGCTTCCTCTGACATCTGTCCAGAAGCACGGAGCCCCTGGAGCGAGTGGTCAGGACCTGCTGGCCATCCCGTCCCTGGGTCAGACCCTGGGCCCTCACTGAGGACATGCTGTGAGAACACGCAGCTGCAGCAGAAACGCCAGGGCGGAAGGGCCCCAGGACACAGCTGGGGGCCTGGCCTGGTGTCCGGCTCCATGCAGGGCCCTGGCCCTTCCCTCTGCCTTCCTCCCCTGCTACAGCGAGGCACCCTTGCTCCCTCCCGAGCAGTGGCAGACGGCTGTGACATGCAAAGGTCACTTCACACAAGTTAATGAGACACAAGTGGTCTGAGGCCCCAGAAGGCTGAAGCGATTTAAGGAGTATGTACTGAAGGCAGGCGCGGGCACGTTTTCAAATTCTCCCGAATGCACAGGGAAACATGTACTGCCAGAAAATGGCTGTGTGGTTTTCAATCACCTGAAAGTCTCAGGTCAGTTTCCACACTTCCCTGAGGCGGCAACTGCAGGCATTTACATGTGCAACTAAAGGCAGACTCGCAGGGGTGGGCCATGGGCAGTCCTTCCTCCAGAATGTTCTTCAGTTGGGCAGCCAGAGCAGGACTCGGAATCCGAGGCGTCAGCAGCACATTCCGTATAAAAACATCAGGGACCATTTAGGGAGTGGAAATTCCCCCCGAGCGGACTCGGTTCACTCTTCATAAAAGGAGCACAAAGTCTAGTGAGTGAGAGGTTGAGCCTTTCATTCCCTGCGCCTTTTACAAACGCCCGCCTGAGACTCGGGGTGGGGTCTACAGGAGACCGGAAGGCAAGGCTGAGAGCCGGCCCTTCGCCATCGCCACAGGGCGGTTGCCAGGACCGATGGTGGGGGCTGCATGAGGTCTGCAGTGCGGGGGGCTCTGAGGGTGAATGCATCTTGATGCCCGTATGCGTGTGTGTGCACCCACGTGTGTGCTGCTACAGGAACTTGCACACTTCCTGGTGTGGAGCGAGAGAAAAGGCAGTTTCTGGACGCCCTCCCTGCACAGGAGAACGCGTGTTCCATAGATACAGATTTCCGTAGATACAGATTCAGATTTGCATATAGACGCGCCAACCACCAAGTGGACCAATCCCAAAGCTGCAGTGGAGCCCAGGCTCCTCCCTGATAAGAGGTGACAGTCACTGTCTCCTGGGACCCCTGCGAAGGTGACAGGCAGCTTATGAAAAGGGCTTCATACATACTCAGCATTTATAAAGCTCTCAGGGACTGCCTTCCACAGGCGCTAGATAGACCAAGGGACTGGACGGTCAGACAGGAGAGGACCAGACCAGCTGTCTCGTGATCCTGCCGAGACAGTACCTGCTCATCCCTGGGAACCCAGGAGTTGCCGTGCCAGAGTGTGCGTGCTGTGTGCAGCGAGGGTGGCTTCCCGGGGGCCCGGCTTTCTGGGGGAGCGGATGGGCTCCGGAGCGACAGCTGTGTTTGGTTTCCTAGATTTTTGTAATTTTCGGGGAATTAAATACTAAGGGCAAAACTTTCAAAGTTAGTTGGAATTATACTAGAAAATGAATAGGCCTCTTGAAACAGTTAAGCGTGTGATGGTGAGTGAAGTGCTTGGCCTCAGTCATGTTAAATGGTCGTGGGTGGCCTGGAAGGTTCCGTGGAATAGCATGTTTGCAGGCTCACCCTGGGACGGCTACAGCGTCTGACGGCGGGAAGGGGTGGGATGCATTGTATCAGGTCTCAGCCCTGCTTGCTCTCAGTGAATGTGAACTCCTGACCGCTGTGCTCCATGTCACACACCAGCACAGGCCTCGGAGTGGGCGGCCTGTGTCAGAAGCTGGCTTCCACGCCCTGGCGCAGTCCAGCCCCTTCTTGGCTGTGCCTCAGGGAACTGTGCGGCTACCCCAGCAGGGAGTTTTCTGTCACATCAATCATGTATCGGTCCGAATGCTCCCATTTTACAAGGTGATACTTACCCAGAGATATCCTTGCCTTTCCCAGATGATTTGAGGCGGCCACAGCTCCAGGCCGCAGAGCACCGTAGACTCAGAAACTTGATATAATGGGTCAGAGCTCAGTGAAGATGGCCGGTGGCAGAGGCCACTGGCGGTCAGCCTCACACCGTGACCACCAGTGGGCTGTCAAGCCTGCCTGTGTCCGGGCAGACCAGCTGCCCACGGCTGCTTGACCGACAAGTGACGGCAACTCCCTTTGCTGGGTCTGGACGAGTAGGAGCAGGGTCAAGAGAGGGAGGCCAGCATTCGTTAGGAAATGCGCCAGCTGGTCGGATCAAGCAGCAGCTTTGCACGTGACTCCCAAACTGTTTTTGCCCAGGATCCCGATATTTTAACTCGTTTTTCATGGGGAGAAAGGGGAGGGCCTAGGGCCAGATGCACTTGGGAAATGTGGGCATTAGCAGCGTGTGCTGGTCTGCTTCCTGCTACACACCGAGGCCCTGGGTCTGCTGACTCGGGAGCCCACCTGAGAGACTCACTCTGCAGCCACTCTGCTTGTGCCCCGCAGCCACTGGGGGGCACTCTGAAGAGAACATGTGTGTGCATGCATGTGCACACGGACAGCTACTCAGTCTTAAGACACAGCCTTCTCCCGGGAAGCTCTGACCCATAAAACAGAACAGGAACCTGCAGATGTGAGCGGTGATAACACTTAGTGGGGTGGCTCTTCATGAACAAGGCATTACACCAACTTTTCCCCACTTAGTGTGTTGCGCGAACACTTTCTACTTTTTCTGTGAATTTTTTCTAAGAAAAAGGGGAGGGGAAAACATGCACCCTGGGGGCAGCCCACTAGGGAACAGCCGGCCTCGGTGGAGGTACAGGGTCTCCCGAGGGCACCAGCGGAGGGGTGTGTACTTACTGCCTGTCTGTGCAGGTCAGCATTCCCCTCAACCCGGATGGTGTGGGGCAGAAACCCCAGGACGTCACACACCAGAGGCTGCTCTCAAAGGCCCTGTGACGTCATGCCGTGAGCTCCGACCTCCAGGAACAGCGGTCTGGTCTCTGGGGGACCGCCGGTGCCTTTTCCCAGTCTGAGGGCTAAACAGTGGCTTTGAGCAACAGTGCTTGCTCCTTTTAAAGTGCTGCCTCCTGCATTCTTCACACGGTATCACAATCCAGCTTTCTCTGTGCTTCTTTATTGCAGTTTCATATGGGGCTGACGGCTTTAGGGATTTTCATGCAATAATTCCCAATTCTTTCTCTCGTAAGTATATGCTTCGCTTCTAAAGAATGGAAATGTGTGTGTTCATTTCATACTCAGTGTCCTCTGTGTGAGCACCGTGCATGCTTCCCACTACCACCCCCGCCCCACATGCCAGACAAAATGAGGAGCATCCGTTCTGACCCTTCTGATTATTAAACAACCACCACCAAGAGCATGGCTCACACCATAAAGTCCACATGTGCCCTTTTTGATGTCAGAAATGCATGAGGGAACACCCCTCTGTGCTGGCGGTGCAGTGACAGAGCAGAAGTTACCGGACTGAGGGAGTCGTTGCTGCACTCGTGCCCCGAACAGTTTTGTTATGAGCCTGTGGTTTTCTCCTTTTTATTGAGAAGAGGGCAAAACGACCAGACTTGCCGTCACCATGAGACAACCCAGCATGTTCTGCAGACCGCGCTCCCAACCCCGCAGGGTGGGAGAAAGCCGCTGTTAATTTCAGAACTGAGAGAAGGCGCGGGGCCTGGCGGGCGCTCAGGGCGCTCGGTGCTGGGCACCACTCCCGAGCTGCGCTGTGAAACCCGAAGCAGGTGTTCATTTCATCTTTCTTTTTTAGGCGTGGAGAGGTGGTAGATGGTACATAGCTTTGAGCCACATCCTTGAAGGTGTATTTTAAGGAATGAAAGGGTGCTTTTTAAAAAAATGTGCAGATAGCTGAATACTCAAAATGATACAAGTTGGTTGCCCTCTGAGGACTTAGGTCTTCAGAACCTGCGTCAGTAAGTCCCCTCGATTTGCAACATCAGGAATTAGGGCGTGCCTGTTAATATCGTAACGAGTATAAAAAAGGCTTCTTTGATTGAGAAGCTGCCAGGCACAGGTTCTGACACCCTGACCATCCATGGCTTTTCGGTGTCTGCAGGCTTTGTCTGCATCAGCCCCAGTGAGGCACCTTGGCTCACAGCCTACGTCAGCTCCTCTCCTGTTGACAAGACCCACAGAGAGACCCTTCCCTTGCCAAGGTTCCTTTGTTTCAACCTTTAAACACTAGCTTGCCCTTCATGCCATGAGAAATGTGTGTAAGTGTTCATGTATGTGTACGCATGTGTGCATGTGCTTGCACAATTACATGAAGCACTAAGGCCCTAGGACAGAGGACTGGTGTTACTTGGGAGATGAACCGTCCCACCTTGGACACGGCAGGGAGTGGAGGCACTTCGGGGTAAGGCGATCCTGCCTCAGACGTGTCTCATCACACCTTGGCACAGGGAGGCTCAACACGGTGCCGTGTTGGAGCAGGTGCTATGGTGGGGACATCAGTGCATAAGAAATGCCTGCCCCGAAATAGAAGGTGTGACCCGGGAGCTTCTGGAAGGTGGATTCTGTATGTGTCCACGCACGGACTGTCCGTAGACTCAAACAAGTGGGGTCACAGGTGTCTGTGGTTCTCTCTCTTCCTCTCCTCCCCCATGAACCCAAATTGTGAAGGTCACAGGCACAGTGGCTGGTGACTGTTGGCTCCCAGCAAACAGCAACCAAACTGTTCTAGGCCAACATCGCCACCTAATGGTCATAGTGGAGAATTGCCCTCACCACCTCTTTTTTTTTTTTTTTTTTTTTTTTTCTTCTTCTTCAAAATTAAAAATACGACCTGTTTGTCCCTGTGTCCCTCCTCGGTCCCAGTGTGCGTCCCTAGTTCCCTGGGGAGATGTAAACATGCTTGTGACTTGTTCTCTTCTCACATACTTCCTCTTTTCTCTCTCCCTTCATCCCATTTAAAGGCCTAAAACATTACATAAGAATTAAAATATTTCTAATCAGTCATCTTGACAAGAAAAAGGGGGGGAAACTACATTTAAAATGGTGTTGGTTCTCATACTTGGTTTTATTAACCTTCACAATGTTTTAAAAATTTGATAAACCTCTTTCAGAGGCAGCGTGAAAACACCTACCTCTCGCCTCACCCTGAAATTTCACGTAATGGCCCTCCTTCCAGATCAACCATAAATATTTTCGTTCCATTTGATTTTAACTGCCCAGTCACAGCAGTTGCAGGAATATTTCTGTCTTCCATTTTCTCATTTAAAATAGTGGGCATTTCAAGCTCCTGTGGCCTAAACTCCCATTATAGTGACAATTTTGAAACAGTGTCTTGATAGAAAAATGTGGTCTGAATGCCAACCATGCACCTGGCCAGTGAATACAAAGACATGTGCTCACAGAGAAGAGGGAGCATAACCCATTTTGGGGGGGCGGGGTGGGGGTCACTGCATGAAGATTCTTGGACCATTTGGGACGGTTTACGATGCTGGGCAGCAGACCAGTCTGGCCTTGGCCCTGCTGACCCCGAGTCCTGCGGATTCTCCAGACCCGGGACCGTGACTTCTGAAGTCCCCTTCCCACTCAGGGGACCGGGGTCGCTCTTGGCACTGCTGTGTTGCTAGTAACATAAACAAATAGTAAGGAAAGGATTTCAGCTTTTCCTAAATTCACATAGCCTCTGGGAAGCAGAGCAGGCACTGACTCAGGGGCGAAGACCTCTTCTCTCCAGGGGAGCCAGGCTTGCTTAGTGATGGAATCAGGCCCCAGGCTGGGCCAGGCTGGGCCAGGGTCGGGGTGGAGACTAAACAGGTCCCGGCTGGTGGTCTGTGTTAATTAGCCCAGCGCAGCACCTCACGGAGGCCGACTTGTGTCTACCAGGTGGGGAACGGAGTTACAAACATCCATGAAGTATGACCCCCGTACTCAGGGGGAGGCTAACATTTCACACAGCTGACAGCAGAGCCAGGCATTTTGGGTCCAGGGAAATGGCGAAGAGGCGCTGGTCAGGGGATTTGGAGCGAAGCCTGGCCGGTCAGTGGGAGCCCTGGTCAGCCTTCCAAACTGACAGCATCGTGGGGTGGGCCGAAGTGCAGCACCCCGTAGGAATTGGCTCCCACCCCCACCAACCTCCCTGTGCCCACTGCAGGCTGCACTTGCCCTTCAGAAGGAGGCCGACGGCCTGCCCAGTGTGGGGCCCCAGGATTGGGTTTTCTTTGCTCCCGGCCACACTGCTAATCGAGCTCGCCATCAGCCAGAACCCCAAAACCCTTTCTCAGACTTACACAAGGGAAGCTGAGGTGCCCCCATCCCGAACTTGTGCTGAAAAGGTGTATTTGAACTGAAGTGGGCCTCGCATGTCTGTCTAGTAGAGATCTGGCCCACGGTGGCCACTTACCCGGGTAGCTTCAGGCCCTGGTTTCTGTCATCTGCAAAAGTAACAGGCATGCCACCTGTGCTCCCCTCCCAGCCGGGTGGGAGGCAGTTCCACAGCTGACCCCTCAGTGGACAGAAAGCGTCCTGTTCTCTGGTGGCCAGCGGCAGTCCACATGCGTCCACATGAGAGGAGGCCTTCCCCATTTCAGGGAGCGTTCGCCTGCTCTTGAATGTGACGCCCTCGGTGGACGGTGTGGCCCACTTTGCTGTCACCAACACCCCTCATCTCAGCAGCCAGCCTCTCCTTCTCTGGGCCCCCCCAGCCCTTTCCTGACATAAAAAGGCCCAGCATTGGTCCCCAGAATGCAAGCAGCTGGCGGCTGTCACACGCTCAGCCTCCTGCTGTGACATGCGTGTGGGGTTTTCCACATCCATCCAGGTCCCTCATCTGCAGCCCCTTGTCTTCACCACGACAATCAGGGGTTTCCTGCGTTTTTCCAGGGACCTAGAACAGGACAGGATCCTGAATGCTGTTCCTCGGGCTTTGCCTCCTGTGGCTCAGAACAGGCCTCCCTGAAACGGTGCCTGGCAGGCCCCGATGCTCTTGGGACGGTTGGCCGCAAGCCCTCACGCCTGCTAGCCCTGCTGTTTACCCGCACCCTGTCTCAGCTCTCAGACACCGCGCCCCATGGTATCGTCACCAGAAAGTCCCTCCTTTATGAGCCTCTAGCCTCCCGGCTGGAGGACTTCTTTGGTCAGAAGATGACATGCAGGCTTGCTTTCCTTCATGCTGTCCTTGTCCCCACCCCACCCCCCAACACAGTGTCACCTGCTCCTCAGCAGCCTCCCTCTGGGAATGCATGTTCCTGGCATCAGAAACCCAAGCGTCACCCTCTGCTCTTCTAGGCCTCACAATGTCACTGACAACACAGCCCCGGGCACACCAAGGGGTCACAGACACATTTGTCATTCTTAAGGACCCAGGATAAGTGGGCACTACAAGCCCTCTTCTTGTAAGCCATCCGTCTAAGTATCCTCTTCAAAGAGCTGGTGGGGAAACCTGAGTGGGATAACACCGTTAACTAAGTTGATTAAGACAGCGGGTGAGCGTACACCTGAGTGCTCTGTGGGGCTCGTGACAACATGGAGCACTGAGCCCCACCCGGAGACGCTGGCTCGGGGCATCTGGGGTGGACCCCAGACCTTGCTGTTCTAACCAGTGCTCAGGTGATATGGGTGCAGCTAGTCCAGGGATCGAACCTGGAGACCCACCGACTCAAAACACCCATCAGAGCCTGGGTACACGTCACCACCGTGGTTTACTAGCCTGCTCCACTGTGTAGCCACTGAGGCAGGTGATGGTTTCCACAGTGACGTCAGGAGAGGGCTGGGCTCATTCACGCACCACCAGACCCTGTCTCAGAAGAGTGCAAACAAAATGCCTCTTGTTTCCTTTGCCGAGAAAAATACATGAATGACGTAGACCTTGACCCTGAACATGATGTGAAGGGAAGGAGCGTGCGGGGCAAACAGTGGTCACTGTGTTTGTCAGCACCAGCCCCTCACCCCATGTGCATGGCTTTGCCTTTGAAAAACTAGTCTCGGTCTCCCAAATTCACAACCACCCCCACGGAGCCCGAGGAGCAAAGCCGAGCTCGTGGCTGTGGCTCAGCTTCCATGACCCTCGTGAGATGAAAGGGGGTTGGAGTAACCTTGTACCAAAGAAACAAAGTCTTCCAGCAATCTGTGGTTAGAAGTTTATGCCCATGTTTGCCAGGCTTGGTCCCCACGTTCATCACCCTGTGATACAGGGAAGGACAGCAGTTTCTCACGCTCTATAACCACTCACGAGGGACTCTGCCAGACAAGGTCACAGCCCCGGAGGAGCTGACACTGTGGTCCATCCTCACCTCCCCATGTGAGGGGCTCACCTGGGGGAGGGCGTGCAGGATCTGCCTCCTGTGACTGCTGGGTGCCCCAGGCTGTCCCTGTGGAGTCGGGGACCCTATCATGCCCAGATAGTGGGCCCCACTGCACAGGAGACGTTGGGGACCCTGCCGTTCGGACCTGCAGAGGGGCAGGCAGGCAGGCGGTCTCCTGCCACAGTCCCTCAGGGGCCAGGGCTGCTGTCCCCACGGAGAACCTCTTTTGAGGAGCCCCGGGCTCCCGCGGGTTGTGTGCTGCTGTGCTGTTTCTGTGCTGACACTGAGTGGCCGCTGTATTGTGTCTTTCAGCCAGTAATGTTAAAGTAGAGACTCAGAGTGACGAAGAGAATGGGCGTGCCTGTGAGGTGAATGGGGAAGCTTGTGCCCAGGACTTGCGCGTGCTCGGTGCGGCGGGCGAGGACCTGGCTGGCTCCCACGGTGGCCCCGGCGGCAGAGCCGTGTCAGGAGCTGGAGGCATCCGACTGCCTAACGGCAAACTGAAGTGTGATGTCTGTGGGATCGTGTGCATCGGCCCCAATGTGCTCATGGTCCACAAGAGGAGCCACACGGGTAAGGCCTGGCGGAGGGGCAGGCGGATGCGGCGAGCGGCCGTCCCAAGGGCGCGACAGACAGGCGGGCGGAGCCACGGGGGTTCCGGGGCATGTGGGGCGAGCGTCCTTCTCCTGGGGCTTCCAATGGGACCGGTTCGACCCTGGACATCGGAGCAATAAGCAGAACACTTAACAGCCTCAGATGCCAGTGCTGGGGAGGGGGTGGAAGGGGTCGCTCCCTCTAAGCCGGGGCGATGGGCACAGTCAGGGTACATGGGGCACATGGTTCAAAACCAAACAAAAAAAATGAACACAGCAAAACCCATGCCTCACGTTGTCCACTGAGAAACCTGGAGTCTGTGAATCTGTTTCATATTCAGATGAGAAGGGCCGGGCCCTCGGAAACACTAGCGAATGGTGACACACCAGCCAAAGGCGTCTTTCAGAGAGTCCGGGTCCGGGTCAGGCACTGCGGGCAAGGTCAGAGTCACGGGTTTGGAAATCCAGAACCAGTGATGACTTTAATATCTTGAGCCCCGTCTGTCAGGGGCGTTAGAAGGATAGAGTACGGTGCCCCGTGTCCAAAACTGGAGGGATGAGGAGAGTCCAGTGCCCAGTCGCTGTGCCCACACTCACATGGGGGCAGGGGCAGGAGAGGCCCCACTCTGCGCCCCCCCCCCGTGTGCCCAGCACAAGGTCCAGGGATCGGCCAGGTACAGATTTCCCACAAGAACTGCCCGGTCAACTCTCACGGCCCTGAGAGGTGTTAAAGGGCTGCATCTACATGCACCTGTGTGCACACCCGTGTTCCGAACAGAGGCACTGCTCTCCTGCCACAGAGGCAAGCGAGACAGTGCATTCACCCACTGCAGCGGCCACTGGACCTTGGGACGTAACATGTAGAAGCCCTGAGTCCCTGTGGCCGAGGAGTGGCATCAGTGGTCACCCTGAGGCCAGCATCTGCCAGCACCATCTGCGGGAGGAGGGACAGTCACACAGGTGGAAACCAAACCAGAGACGCAGCAGATTCCCACGGGATTCCTGGGAGGGAGGGAGCCTCCTGCAAGTCCAGCAAACTCAGGGACACCAGGAACGAAGCTGAAATTCGGAAAAGTTGTGAGGCGGCAAAGCCAGGCTGTTGGGAAAGGCAGATTGCTCTGGCATTGCGATGTTTCTACTTGATCGGGGCGGTTTCTGACAGGAGGACTCCCATTTGTCGTACCTCTGGGGAAAAACGGAGTGTGTTTTCTTTCAATAAGCATTTCTTTTCTGTGAAAACTTGTTTTCTGGAGTAGGGAAAACTGCTGCCGAAATCCCAGGAGTAGGGGTTACTGGCCAGCAGTGTTAGTGTTTCTGCCTTGCCCTCTTGGGTTTTTGGGGTTTTTTAAGGCTGAAACAGTGAACTTACAACTGTGCCCAGAATGCACTGCTGCTTGTGTGATGGACAGAGAGGGCTGCAGGTGGCTGTGGGGTTGCCTGGGCAGAGCTGGTGTGACCACGTAGATGTGCTAAAGAGTGTCCGCGTTCCTGGGACCTGAGTAGAATGTGCTAGAAAAGGCATCACCAGTCCTGCCCTGAATCCTGCAAGTTTAAACCTTGCTAGAATAGCGCTTCTCCAGCTTAAAGACCGTGGGAGAGCCACAGGGGGTCCCGTGAAAAGACAGAGTCTGGCTTGCCCCAGAGAGTGCCTGCATGCTGGGCAGGGACCCTGAGCATCTGCAGATAGCAGCTGAGGACTGGACAGCGAATGTGACATTTCAGGGGCCCTTCCTCTGTGAGCATAGGTACAACCAAACAGGGGTCAGTCAAGGGGACTTTCTTTCTTCCCCAGTTAAATGACAAAAAGCTCAAACATTCTCACAGAGTTGCTGGGACTGAAAACTAGATTAGGAATGAAGGATATTGAGTCCTCATCCCAGTTAAATGAAAGGAACTACAACCTCGGAGAAACCTGAATTTACTTAGCCACCATGAGCAAGACCCTTGGGAGGGCAAGTGCCGGACATTGGCCAACAGAGGGGCTCGTGAATGCATGGTCTGTGCCCTGTGCTGGCTCCAGGGCCTGGCCCCTTCCCTGCTGACCCCTGGGGAGGGGTGGGACATGAGTCCAGCTCCCTGAGTCATCCCTTCAGGGATGGCTCTGCCTGAGGCCCATGCCTGCATTGGTGTTCACGCCCACCCAGGCCGCCAGGACGTGGAGACTCCCAGGAAAGCTTCGGGGGGGAGGGAGGCCCCAGGCACAGCGGGGTTCCTGGAACCGGTGACTCAAACTGGAAGCCAGATTTCACTCTTGATGAAACGGCTGCCTTTCCTTCTCTCCTTCCTGTCCTGTTCTGCAGAAGTGGGGCACAGCTCCCGGGCCTGCCCTTGCTGTCCCTTTGAGACCCCAGCTCACCCGCAGGGTCCTGCCTGCAGACCCCAGAGCCCCCCCCACCTGCTCCACGGGGAGGGGCTCTAGCTTTGGGTCCCCCACACACACACACAAACGTCACAGGCAGGTCCCACGTCCCCGTCACAGCACTGTGTGGCATGAGGCCTCCCAACTGGCTGTCTTTCCACACCCCCAGCCCGGTGTCCCCGCACACAGAGCCCTTTCCCCTCCTTAGGGTCTGACGCACACCTTCCTGCACGGGCATGTGGGCAGGGCTTCTGCCAGCAGCTTCTGGTAGAAGATGAAACGACCCCTCTGTTGGTTGCTCCCCAGGGCATGGCCGGTGCAGGACTCGGGAGTTGAGGTTCAGCTACAGTCAGACGACCATCAGCTCCCACTGGCAGGACGCTCACCCTTCCTTGGCCTGGACTCGGCCAGGCTGGGTGGAGACCTGGGCAGGCAGGCAGGGCAGCCCCGCTCGTGCCGGGTCCCTCCGACGGGTCTGCAGCTGAGGGCTGTGGTCAGTCAGCTCCCGTGTCCAGAGTGCGTCTCTCTCTTGCCCACTTAACAACAAAGGGGATGAGGACGATGCCACGCAGGCGCAGATCTTAGAGGACCTGAGGGGTTGCCACTGAGTCATTCCCGATAGTGACGTCTCTATTTGCCAAAGTCGTGGGAAGCCACTGGGGAGACTGTGAAATAGGCATTTTCGCATGTTCCAGTTTCCTAAGGAAAAAAAATGTTTCTAGGAAGCGTATTCTTACGGTGTCTCAGCAGCAGTTGGCTGTGGTCCCATAGAGCAATTCTGCAAAAAATAAGACGTTTGTGAGAGCCGTCACAAACGGGGCTGCTCCGGAGCACCTTGCTCACACACGTGGCCCGTGTGGTCCTCGGTCGAGAGGGTCACCGGCTGGGCGGCCGCTCCCCCAGCACCACCCGAGAGAGGACTCCTAGGGACAGCCAAATCGCGTTTTAGACCCTCTGTAGGGAGACTGTTGCTTGTGTCCCGTGGACAGGCTCCTAAGGTCCCAGGAGCTGTGAGGGAGGAGGGGAGGTCGGGGGCTCTCGGGCCGGCGTGGAGTTTCCTCCGGCTTCCTCACTTCTCGTTGCACTGGCCGCTCTTCTTCTCGCTCCCCTCGCACTCTCTCGGTCTGTCTCCCTCCAGATTCGCCTGTGTAGGGGCAGACAGGTAATGGAGAAGAAATTGAAAAGGAAATACAGGGAGATGTAAATGAAAAGAAGTTATTATAACTGTTATAATGAACTGCCTTTCATTTAAATATAAGAATGTAACGCTGAAATGAACTTGTGATCCTGAAATGCATTTTTAATGAGTTTCCTTTTTATTTTGCTGCTTCAGTGGCATATTTTAAAGACCCTTTGAAAAAAGCCACATTAAAAACTCCACCAAATGCCACAACACGCAGAATTGGATATTGGTTTATTCCAAAACTGCTGATCAGGAAGAGTGGCTCTTCATCACAAAATGTTGCAGTCACTTTATTTAAATGAGTTTGAATTTGCATTGTGATGTGCCGCTCTGATTTAGGGGAAAAAATTAGATTTTCAGATCAAATTGACCCAGGCAGTGAAGCGTTAAGAAGCTGGCAGGTTTCGTCTGAAAGCCTCATGTTTGATCAAAGCTGCTGCCGGTGGGAGTCGCCGGCCTCGTGGGAGAGCGCCGTGCGGCCCGCGCGCCCCTGGGGTCCCCAGCCGCTGTCCACACTCACGACCCCCCGTTTCCCCGCAGGAGAGCGGCCCTTCCAGTGCAACCAGTGCGGGGCCTCCTTCACGCAGAAGGGCAACCTGCTGAGGCACATCAAGCTGCACTCGGGGGAGAAGCCCTTCAAGTGCCACCTCTGCAACTACGCCTGCCGCCGCCGGGACGCCCTCACCGGGCACCTGCGGACACACTCCGGTAGGTCCCTGGGGCGCAGGTGGGCGGGCGCGTGGGGGCCAGGAGGTCGCCCGTGTGGTGCAAGAGTCCTCCCCACTGGGTGGCCCAGTCCCTGGGGCAGCCCTGTGTCGGTCACTGGCCTCCCCAAGGACGGTGGCAGCAGCAGGGTCCCTGACTGGCTGGAGAGGCAGGGGCTGGGGTAGGGGGGCGGGAACCTCACGCACCAAGCCCCACCTTAGCCAGAGCTTTCAAAAGAGGCCCGATCCCGTCTGTTCAGGTAAGTGGTCTGCAGAAAGGACTCCCCTGCGGTGCCGTTGCCGGGCTCTCGGAAACTCGAAGAGAGCTCCCAGATCCTCACCTTTAGGCTGCGAGGGGAGCCACACACACGACTGGGTTATACAGAGGATTTCAGGAGCCATCATTGCAGAGGTGACCAGGGTCCCTGTCCTGAGTGGATGGACACTGTCACCGAGGGCCCGCTGCCTTCCCAACTGAGCCCTGGTGCAATTCTTTACCCCCTGGAACCAGGCTTGCCTCCTCGGGAGGCCAGTTGGCAGATTTGGCAAGACGCACCCCAAACAATCTAAGCTCTCCCTCTCCCACCCCTGACTGCGTCAGACCGTCTGCCCCCAAAGGAGTGTTTCATTACCCAGCAGCCCCACGACCTCACGGGCCAGACCAGGAGGGCCACGGCCATGCGGGGGCCCTGGGTGGGAGGTGGCAGTCCTGCCCCCATGGAGCTGCCCGTCCAAACCATTCAGTGTTGGGGACTCTGCTCAGTCAGAGCGCTGGGGACAGGAAGGGGCTTCGGACCAGCTTCCCCCTTGCAAGGGCGCCGTGTGTGCATGGGGGTTTTCTGGGCTCCGGCGATGTCCTTCCCAAGCGCAATGAGTATAACAAGGGTCCAGTGTCAGAGGTCACTTGCTATGTTCATTTCTTGGTCACCTGTGTCCTGAGCCCCTCAGGGACCTCATTCTCCAGCAGAGGAGACAAGTGCAAAGTGGCAAAGCACCAGTGTCTCCCCAGGGCTGTGACACAGTATCCGAGGGGGTGACAGGAACTCTAAGAGGGGACAGTCTGTCTTCAGGATGAGAGGCGTCAGGAGAGACTCCTGCAGAAAAGGGGTTGGGTCCAGGCTGACAGGTGCCATTTCTGAGGTCTCCCTGTAAGACACCCAAGCTGAATGCACAGTTCTGTGAGGGACCCCAGAAAGGGGCACTGGGCCCATTTTAGCAAGTGTGGGAACCGCCATTCTCCTGTAGGAGCCAGGGCATGGGAGTGGCCGGGGGTGGAGCTCCAGTGTCCGGCTGGGCCATCGCAGCTCTGCCCTGACCCCTGCCTGGTGGTCAATGTGGAGGGGGCTCCCAAAGCCATGCTGAGCCATGACATGAGGGTCAGGGTCTTTGTGAGCCATGATGATTGGGGTCGGGGTCTTCAGACCTGAGGAAGGGGCCATGCAGAGCTGAGGAGTCACTCCTTCCTGCAGAGCAGGCCAGGCCAGCGGGGGTGACAGGGAGGCCAAGGCCAGCACCCCCCATCTGGGACAGGGCACACGCTGAAGCCTGGGGAGGCCATTGCTACAGGTGGCAGGGAGAGCAGGGGGGTGTCCACCCAGAGCGGGACAGTGACAACGTGACAGCATTTTTAAACATTTCCATGTGTCAATAATGAGGGGCACGCATGGTCCCATGCAGAGGTGAAGGTGCGTGAGGAACTGGACACAGGCTTCAGGGGTGACGATTACTCGGTCTGTGTGCCGTGCCCAGCAGGGGCTGCCGGCAGAGATACTTGGCAGATGTCACTTCTAAGGTGCCAAGTGGACGTCAGCGCCTGTGACGGTGGCAGGGCTGGCAGAAAGCACAGCTGCCCACGTGGGCTGGCCCTCAACTGAGCACCAGCCACATGGTCCCCTGTATGCCCAGGGCTCAGGGACTTGCTCCAGAAACCGCTCCTGCCAGTCCACCTGAGAGTTTACAGCAAAGCCACTCTCTCTGCTTCCCCACTGTGACATCAGAACTGTCTGCCTCAGCGTGTCAGGTCACTGCTGCCGCATGCCTGCTGGCTCCGAGGGGGACCTGGCGCTGTCCCGCTCGGACCTGGGGAGTTCTCTGTCGCACTGGCAGGCCCTGGACAGTGTGTTCCTCTCCGAGGGCCCACTGCTGAGCGAGCTGGTCATCCTGCTGGGGAGAAGCCGCCTCGGGCCCAGGGCTGCCCGTGGTTCTGACGCCTGGAGATGCCATGGGCGCAGCTCTCAGCAGAAACCACTCAGGCATTACTGTAAGACCGCAGTACAATGAGAGGAAGGCTGCAGCCTGTGCCAACTCAAACGTGGCCACTTGCCATTCCACTGTGGCAGGGCCGTGCCCCTGTCCCCCCCCAAATCACAGTGTGGCTCACAGCTTTCCCGATAACTGGGGTGGACCGAGGAAGCTGCAAAGGCCCGGCTGTCAGTGGTGACGTAACTGGAATCATCCCGTGCTGATAACAAGAGAGGCAAGGTGGGGGACATGTGGCAGGCGGGGAAGGGACGCCTCCGGTCTTCACTGCTTTCTCTGGGCGCAGCGCACTGAGCCAGAGACCTTCACCCTGAAGAACGTGGGGTGATGCCCTGAGACAAGCTGCACTTCTCTCATCCCACAGACGTATTTCTCGGGTCCCAGAGTTAACACCGACCACAGGCTCAGAGACAGGGACACTCAGACACCAGGCCGTGCACACAGGAAGCTGCCAACATTCCAGCTTTTTCCAGGAAGGACATTGAGAGGTTGTCTACGTTCTTTTAATTTTTCAAGGCAGTGCTCAAGAGAACACACCATTTTAAGCAACATCGTATGTGTTGATGTTGTCTCCCTGATATCAGGGATGCAGCCCCCTCTACAGATAAAGATCCTTTTATTCCTTCATTACGGTAAATGTTCCAGAACTTAAATTTTGGGGGTTTTATTTTTTATCTTAGTCTTCTTAAATAATAGCTTCTATTCACCTAAGCAGGAAATCTACCCAATATAAGCTTTGGTTAAACCGTTTTACCCAACATTCCTATTTGGATGGTATTGATTTTTATATAATAATTTCAAGTATATAAAACCCAACATTCTGAGAAGGAGGATGATTCTGGTCTTAGAATGGAAATTTGTATTCTTTACGTAACCAGCTGAAGCTCCTTACCCACCTCACCCCTTATTACCATGCTACACGTGGAAGTCCGGGGACCGAGCCACCCCGTGGAGGGGTGCCATTCTTCCCGTGCCGTGACACTGACCTGCAGGAAGAACCAAGGTCGCCGTGCAGAAGTGAGCTGCTACACACAGCAGCTGCTAGCCACGCCTGCGTTTGGATCTGAATCTGAATTGATGAAACAAAGTGATCACTCGGTGAATGCTCTGCAGCCCCAGGCGGCCGGTGGCTGCCGTAGGTCCGTTGGCCCACAGGAAGCCCCGCTGGACTGGGCTGTTCTAGAAAAAGCATGAATTTGGGAAAACGAAGGCTTGTTTCATGGAAGATATTTATCTTTATGGGTGTCTTAGAGACTCAGATTACCCAGTATGCACCCTGGAGGGGAACTGACTTTGGTTGTAGGAGGCTCTGGCCCCGGCAGAGAACGGGCAAGAGTCTAACCTCGCAGGTGAATCTGACTGTTATCAAGCTGACACCACCCTTCCTCCTGCCTCTGCCTAGGTGACCCTTTTTACAGTTAGTGATTTCAACCAAGTGCACGGTGCTTTGAGCTCTCCAGAGCAGAGTGTCATTTGGCTTTTCGGTGATGTCTGTGTTGCAACCCCCCTACCCGTAAGGCCGGCGTCTAACTGGGGACTTGAACTCCATTCTGTTTTCTGCAGTTGGTAAACCTCACAAATGTGGATATTGTGGCCGAAGCTATAAACAGCGAAGCTCTTTAGAGGAACATAAAGAGCGTTGCCACAACTACTTGCAAACCATGGGCCTCCCAGGCACGCTGTACCCAGGTAAGCGCCGCAGCAGCTTGAGGGGGGCCAGACCCCACCCCAGGCTTGCCCATCCGCCCGCCCACCTGCCGGGACCCAGTGACCCCGCACACGCACGCCCACTTGGAGCAATGCCTCATCCACCGGAGGGAGCTTGACCTTAAACCCCTCCCTCTTCTGAGATGCTAAGGACCTTTGTTTGTTTGGTTTGGTTTTTGGTAATTTCTTTCAATCCAGAGTACTGATTGCTTCTTTGTGCCCAGTAACCAAGACAAGATGTGAAATCTTGTTTGAAAACACTATCTTCATGAAGTTTTTCTGATAAGAGCTTCCAGGCTATTTTCAGTGCTGGCTGGTGGCACCAGCCTGAAGGGAGAGAGCAAACCCTGACAGTCGACAGCAGGACCACTGTCCCTGGACTCAAGGCCTGGTGCCCCTTCCTCGTGAGCTCGATGCTTTGCCCTGGGCAGCATCTCGAGAGCACACTTGGCTCCCGTCTTGGACGGTCTGAAGTAAAAGATGGGGGAGACATCGGCCCAGGAGCTGTGTCTACCGGGGGGGGGGGGTGCTAACAAAGGCACCTTCCCGTCTTGTTAAGGCAGAAGAAATTATTGTGTAGATCACCTGTAGGTGCTGCTTCCCAAACACAACTGATTTAGCACGACCGTTGGAAGAACAATCCCCAGACCAAGGGGGAGCCGCTAAATTAATGGCTGAGAATTGAGGAAGCCTCGCGCAGCTCTCTGACGTCAGTGGCTATCTTGTCAAGGAAACCCACTAGGGGACAGATATTTTTTAAACTTAAATTTTATTTGATTATTGTATCTTTTTTTGTGGTGCTAAAACAAATGTGAAACTCGAATCTGGCCATCTTTCCGTGTGCAGCTCAGCAGCACTAGCAATGCTCGGGGACACGCAGGTCGCTGGGGGCAGAGGAAAGCAGGAGGGAAGGGAAGGTGTCAGATGACGGGGAGAGTCACACTTCCTGGCCTGGACAGGCCTCACGTGACAGGACACCAGAGGTGACCTGGATGGCCGGCTGGGATGTGGTGGCTGCTGCCTCTGTGCCTTTCTCTTCTCACCTGTAAAATGGGGAGGTTCCGTGAAATGACCACGTAGCTCCCGTCAGGGTCCAAGGTGGATCTCCCGGATGGAAAGCCATCGTGGGGCCGTGGAGGAAGCAAACCAGATATTAAAAGCAGTAATGATCACATAACAGTTACTGATTTGTGGCCAGACCCCAAGGTGGGAGACAAAGGGATGAGAAGACAGTTTAGGCTCCTTTCCAATAAAATATAAACACTCAAATTTTGTATTTGCTGTAAAAAGTAAGTTAATGGGTCTCAGACATAAGTACTGCTGATTCGCCTTTAAACAGCCTTACAAACACTTACCAGGGACTTAGGAGCTGCAACACCAACCCCATCAAATACAACAACACATGTTTCCCCGAAACACTCCGCACACGGGGTCAACAGAGCAGACGAGGCACGCGCAGAGTCCACTGGTTTCCCCCACCATCCCCGTGACTGAAGGAAGGTAACAGCTTCCCACTCGGAACCTTTTCTCCAGTGTGCCCCCAAGCTCCCCCTTCAGTGGGGGTGATGATTCCTGCCTGGCCACCTGCCAGGAAGAGCATGAGAGGAGGAAGGGGTGTAAGCGAGGGGTGTGCACCACACACTCACCTGGGCACCCGAGGTCCGGTCACCAGAGCGCCGCCCCCAACACTCAGCTCCCGTCTCTCGGCGATGTCATGGAGCTCCTGTGTCAGCCACACATACGCTCACGGTCCCCCCGGGCCCCGAGTCAGTTCAGCCCTAACATGTTTATTGTGACCTTCAGCACTCACATTGCCTGGGATCTCCCAGTGGGGCTTCTCAGCTGGTCGGTGCAGGTTGTGGGGACTGGAAGCCACAGAGGCACAGGAATGCAAGTCTGCCCGAAGGACACCTGGGACAGGAGAGCAGGTGGGGGGCTGCGGTGGGGGCTCCTGGTCGCTTGGCTTTGCTGTGCCCCCTCCTGTTCCTCCCAAGCCCAGGCGCCAGCCCCCCACCCCAGTGCTCAGGTGGACCCCCGTCCCCCTTAGCTGGGGGCCATTCAAAATTTTGGATTAGGTACAATCAGAACCTAGCTTACAGGATATACAAGAGATTAACTCTCCTAACTATAGTGTCGCTAAGTAAAAAGCATTTCGGTCATCTATAATAATTTCTTAATGTCTCTACAAAACATATGAGCTTTACTTGAGCCTTAGGTGAGCATATGGTGTCACAAGTCCTTAGCAGAAAATCCAGTGAAGGACGGAGTGGCCAGGGGCTGGGGGGTCACTTGTCCTCACTGGGAACTCTGAGGGTCAGGCTCACAGGAGCCCGCAGCCTGGCAGAGAGGGCGCCCCGCCGGGGCCACAGCACCCTGCTGTCAGGGAAGGGCAGACACCAAGAGAAGCCTTTTTCCTCCACAGGTCCAAGTGTGGCTGGTGACATCGAACCTCACAGGTTTCATGTGCACTCCTCATAGAAATCAGGGTGTTGGGTTTGCCCATGTAGTAAGGAACCTACTTTTGATGCTCAAAATGACATACTGGTGATATTGGCCAATTTGAAATATATTTTATTCACAATGGCATTCATTAAGGACGCCCTGGAGACAGAAAATAATTAGAAATCACCTTAGCGGGTGATGCACAGGACATGAGGAAGAATGCTACCACAGCAGATGAGGCAGGGAGACACCCTGGCAGACAGGTGGGGACAGAGGGCTGGACACTGCCCGCGTGTGCAGTGGCTTCACATCAAATGGCTTTGGGCGTCTTAGCGGAATCTGGGAACCGCATATCGTGAAGTGTGTCCGGAAAAGTCGAGGGGGCTTGGCAGTTGTTCGAAGGGAGAGTACTGCCTGGTGCTGTGTTCAAGTGTAGCTGCCACAGGGGCCTCCTGTGGAACAGACTGGTCTGTGGTAGAAATGGAAGCACTTCGCAAAGCCCCAGAGGTAGACACATCTGCGGCGGGATTCATGAGGACTGTGCGGGCGCTGTGCTGGGGGGACCCGTGGTCTATTTAGAGGGCAGTCAATCCACATGTTCAGCTCCGTCCGTATACATGGGGACAAATCTCAGGGAGGTGGAAGAGTTAGTTCCATTTCCAAAACTCCAGCCGTAAAACTAGGTAAGGCCGTGCGGGATCCAAAGCTGGGTCCTCGGTTGCAGAAGGAAAGAGACAGCCCTAGAAAACCAAAGGTGGGCTGGGATGCCTCCCTCCACCCACAGCTGCCCCCGGCCCTCCTTCCCCAAAGCCTGCAGGCACCTTTGGCTGTGCCCAGGGTGCACGTGCATCGGGCTGGAGCTCTGGGCTCTCTCTCCGCAGGGCTGGTGTTTGCCGGAGCGTCCCCAGTGTTTAACTTCTGCTTCACGGTTCGCTGAGCCCAGGGTGGGAGTCGGACCCTCAGATCAGCTCTGGCTCTGACAGTTCTTTGGTGCTCAGCGGACTGACCGAGCGAGTGGATTTGGGGGTCTGTGAGTAGTTAAGGCCACTCATCAGACACGATTAATCACAGCCCACTCTCCAGTGACAGTGAGGAGGCTCGGGCCGCAGGTCCTGGGGCTGATGTGCAGCCGGCAGCAGGTGGGCGTCCGCGGCTCTATCTGCCTGGTAGCGTCGCCAGGAAGATTAGACATAATCGCTGCGGAGAGCCAGGCTTTTGTAGGCACATCAGAAATGTCAGATTAACGCTGGACGCCGCTGGGTTGTCTCCCTGTCAGCATCTCTAAACTGGCCTCTCCGAATGTCTTTGACTTTAGTCATTAAAGAAGAAGCCAATCACAGCGACATGGCAGAAGACCTGTGCAAGACGGCAGCCGAGCGGTCCCTCGTGCTGGACAGACTCGCGAGTAACGTCGCCAAACGTAAGAGCTCTATGCCTCAGAAATTTGTTGGTAAGAGTTCAACGTTTGCTGTCTCTTAAAAACACCCAGGTGGGGGGTGGGGTCCAGGCTCAGGCGGTGATTACATGAGGGCAGGAGAAAGAAAAAGCACCCTGTTTTTTTAGAAAAAGCAAAATCAGGCAAGCTGAACATTTCTCGAATACCTTGAAATTCCTTCCAAAGGCCTCATAAACATGCCAAATTTTCTGCCAATAGCTTGTCCTAGACGTGATGTTGCAGTGGCCGGACACTTGGTGGGCACTGGTGGGGAAAAGTCAGTGTGTCCAGTGTCACGCATGTGAGCCCTGCTCGGCCAGGGGCTCCCCGCACAGCCCAGGCACCCCCTGCCTGAGCTGGACATGGTCATTTTCCACTTGAACCTCACACTGCCACCCATGTGGACAATCTTGAAGGGTTAATGGGCAGAATCGCCCAGCACCTGGCCCCGGAGTGGTGCCCAGGGAAAAGGGACACTGCCAGGTCTGCTACTGTCACAGATAACTCTCTACCTGGGCAGGTGCTTGGAGAAGTACACGGTGGAGCGAGACAGCTAGTCTCTGGGAACTCGCTGTCCAGTGTAGGTGACAGGGACACCCAGGGTCATCACCTGGGCCGGTCCCTGAAGGGCAAAAGGGAGGGCCGAGGCAGGCATGAGAGTGCAGGTGGCCCTGGTTGGAGCCACCTAGGTGTCCGTCACAGCCACACACTAACACTGTCACCTTGGTGAAGCTGTGGGACCTCTCCCAGTCTGGGTCTCACTCTTGAGTTCTCTCACAGGGTTTTATGACAAAGTAGCAGCGAGAATATGAGAACATCTAGCAGCTGTCAATGTTAAGGTCAACTATCATCCCTGGAGTGATATAAACAGAGGGCCACAGGGGAGGGCCGTGCCCAGGAAAGGGGGTCAGTAGAAGCTGCTGAGGCTGACAGTGAGCTGAATGGAAGGGCAGGGCTGGGCTCAGGGCTGGTAGTGGGAAAAGGGGATTCTCAGACAGACTAAAATACAGAGAGGAGCTGGTGCCGGTGTGGGGGAGAGCGGGGTGCAGGCGTGATCTGGGGAACTTAGGTCTCTCAGGGGAGCAAAGAAAATAAAGTCACAGTGCGTGCCGGCCAGGGGACTGTGGCCTGGAGTGCCGGGGTGACACAGATTTTATTCACGCACCAGGCGGGGCAGAGCACGGACATGCTCCCACAGGACAGTGGTCTGTCCTGGCAGACGGGGACTGCACGGTTGGCAGGGGAGAGGGAGGGGCGCGTGGCCCCAGAGGATGCTGCTGTCCCTCGGGACAGACAGGACAACAGGAAGGGGGCCCAGGGCAGAGGTTCTAGCCTTCCCGTTGCACCGAAAATAGGCTTCCTTTGATCAGGCTTTAAAGAGAGGTTTGCCGCAGGTTGGGGGCTGGGGGCGTGGGGAAGGAAGTTAGAGACACTTTTGAAAACCGCTGGCTGGAGACACCGTGAGGGAGGTGCCCACGCACGTGAGCTTTCAGACTGCTGTGGGGGAGACCTTGAACTTCCTAAGCAGAGCGGGGGTGAAGTTGCAGTACAAAGGAGGCTGCTGTAGTGGGGCTTCACGTCTCCCGGGGCCGAGGGGGATGCAGGGCTCACTCCCTGTACAGTAGGGACAATGGCTGGTGGCGACCAGGGAGAGGCAGTGAGGTGACCGCGGGGAGCTGGGGGGCACACAAGATGCTGCCCAGGGCTTTGTTGGTGAACATGGGCTGTCAGTGTGGGCTTTTGGAATCTTCTCCCCCAATGAGACTGTGAGACTCTGCAGCAGCCACCCCAGTGGGCCCGCCCCTGGATGTTGTCTTGAGAGTCAGAAGCTTCCGTGTTTAGAAAGAAAAGCCTTGACCCTACATCAATCAAAGCTGCGCAGGTGGCCAGCTCTCAGGCAACTGTGCACCCTGCCTGGTGTCCCCCCCACCAGAGGCTGGTGACTAGCAACTTATGTCTAAAACAAGGGCTGTCCCAACCCCCAAAGGGCTAGGTTGAAGCGATGGGAGCTCAGTGACCACTGCTGATCTGTCACAGCATCTTCTGTACAACTGAGGAGGAGACAGGTCTCTAAGTTCCCCATTAACTTCTGGATGCCAAGTGCATCCTCCGTGTGAACTCAGAAAGAGTGTGTAGGAACAAGCTATCCCCGGGGGGGGGGGTTCAGGGAGGGGTAGTCAGAGCTCCCCAGCTTAACCTTGAGCATATCCCTGGGCTCAGAGTCCCTCCCCCCGATCTGTGAAACAGGCCCGAGGCCCCTACCCCCTGCCCCCCTCCTCCAGCTGTTCTGAGGACCCCAGGGTACAGCAGCCAGGGCCGGCAGCACCCCTGACATTAGCAGGCGCCTGAGACACAGGAGCTGACACCATTTTTGTGTTGAATGTTGCTCCGAATGGCGTATGTTGTTGCCTAGTAGATATGTGACCTGTGATTTAAATTTTTAAATTAAACTCTGGTGTGAGTGTAAGATTTTACTTTGCTGGCCACACTGCCCACTGCTTGGTGCCACGGAAGACCCCATCCTTTGAGACAGTCAGACACTGGGTGGCGGGGCGGACGAGCCTCACTCACCACTAAGGGGTGATGAGGCACGGTTGCGTGGCAGTGCCGGTCACTGCTCTTAGTTGGTTTGGTGGCTGTGGTGAGAGAACGTTTAAAATATAGAAGACGAAATAGAAGGAGAAAAGAACAGTGATTGATATCCCTCTTCCCCATCGAAAGTGTCTTAGTAAACTGAAGTTTACATTATTTTTAAATAAAAATGTCCTATTGTATTTTAAGATGACATATGGTCAATATAAAGAATTGTAATGTGAAGATGAATAGTTTTAAATTGCCACAACACCCAACATTCAGAAATGACTACCACTAAGAGTAGCTGAGATCAATTCTAAATATCTTTTTATTTTGATAAATAAAATAAATCTGTGAGCAGAGAGGACGATGAGTCAGTGAACCGATAAAATGCACACTGCAAAGATTCTGTCAGATGGCAGATGCTATTTCAAATGAAAGTGTCCTTCTTATACGTGTCTCAACTTCAGGAGGTGAGCGAGAGCCAAACCAGTTTGCCCTCAAATAGCTACCCGCCCCCCCCAACACACACACAAAAGATAAGCCTAAAGCTTTTCTCTAAGAAGACACATTTGGAAAAACTTTCGAGCCTTCGCATCAGGTTTCATCTACTTGCATCGGCGCAGTCATCGCGGTCCCGCTTCCGGGCACAGCCACGTGGTCACTCACCTGGTTCTTTCCCGCTCCGCTCCGCGATCAGAGTTCCCTTGGACGAGCTGTTATCGGTGACTCTGAGTTAGAGGAAGGCTCCGTCCCGGTCCCTCTTCCTGCCGTTTTGTTTTCAGTGTTTGTTGTCGTTGTTCAGTAACAGTTGCCGTTCACTGTCCCCTTAGTTTCAGGGGTCCCCATTTCTGTCTGTTTCAGTAACCTCTTCCTTGGTTGGACTCCACAGTCATGCAACCTTCTTCCAGAAGGTTCCAGGGATGTTCTACGTCCACACTTGTTTTGTGTCTGAGGGTGGCTGCCGGCTGCCTTTCTGTCAATACTTGGGGGACCTGTTGGCTGGATATGTGGTGTTGGTCACCCCATTCGTGCCCCTGAGAACTCCTCAGATCTCCCCATGATTCACGATGACGGTGAAATTCTCACTGTCCCCCTCAATGCCTGAAGAGTCCTTTTTTTAACCTTAAAGTTAGCTATGCTCATTTGGATGTGACTTGGCGTTTTACTTTCTAAATAAAAATGTCCTGCCATTTAAAAATGGGAATTCCCTATTTTTTTTCTTTACTTCTGGGAAATTCTCTCTTACAGAAATGCATTTTTTTGGTCCCATCTTTGGTGTTCTCTATTCAGGGACACCAGTGGCCCTACACTGGATAACAATTTGTCTTCCATATCCGTTAACATTTTGTGGGGTTTTTTTTCTTTTTCAGATGTAGTCCTGTCACCGTGTTGTTTTTCCTGTGTGTCAGTGATTCCAGTTCTAGCCATTTTCACTCTCCTACGGGCCGCTTCTCAACCGGCGCCGGTTCTGTGGGACGCGCCACGTGGGCCTTCTCGGTCCCGAGACCCGCAGTCCGCTTTTCCTTCTCGCCCTGTTGTTTTCACGCTCCATCTCTCGGTATTTTTTTTTTTTTTACTGGGCTCATGTCACAAAGCAATGATGAGCCATTTCCTCTCTTCTTTGAATTGAGCTCTTCTCCTAGGATGGCTCAGTGGTTTGTCACTTCCTTTCTCCCTCTGCGCTGTGAGAAAATATTTTCACCGTAACCAACACGTTGCTTTTCATCTTCTTATTCTCCTCGGGCCGACATAGATTGATTGATGTCTCAACATCCTTCCCACTGTATCTGAGACTTTTTTTTTTCCCGTGAGAGCTATCGACTTTTCTAAACCTTGAGAGAAGACCAAGGAGCAGTGGGGGAGGGAGGCGAGATGGGCGTCACCTTTGTGAAGAGGCAGCTCTGTCTCCCTGCGGCTGTGATGGGGTTTGGTGTCCTCAACTCACTGTGGCGGTACCAGGTGGCAGAGCATTTTCCACCCCCCGAGGGGACACCCTGACATTTATGGCTGTGGCCCTGCATGAAGGACGTCATTCCCATCACAGGGCCAACCTCAAGCTCTTTGGTCCAGTGTCGCCTGGTTCTGACGGCAGGGATTTCCACTGTGTGTTTGGTCAGATATGGAAAACCATCTCCCTCATTAAGGCTGCACAGAAACGCAGGCATCAGGGAAAGCACCGAGGATTGCCCTGACTCAGACTTCAGAATTGGGGGAGTGAGATCGGTAGCCACCAAGCTTTGCCATGTGCTTTGTGCCGAAGTTGTCTCTCCTTGGTCGTTGACTTCTTAACATGTGCATGTTGTCGGAACATGCATCTTTCCTCACCTGACTGCCAAGTGGGTTTGGGGGTTTTCTTTTCTGACTTTGAGGAGTGCTGGGGCGGGGAGCGCCGTAGGCTGTTTCTGCCCTGTGTCCACGTGTTGCTGCTACTGAAGCTTCAAAACCACGGCTTTTCATTGGTTGCTCGGGAACCCACAGTGCATGGCTTCGGGGAGGAGCAGGGTGGTCAGCGGGAAAAGCATGGCTTCCGGTGGGGCCGAGGCTCTCTCGTGTTTACCAGAACTGTCCACAGAGTCCCTCTGCCTTCTCTCTGAGCCAGGGTTTGCTGGAGGGACAGGCTGGGGCACGACCAGAGCCACTGAATCCTGTTCTGGAGTTAGTGTGACAGGCTGTCAGGAAACCCCTCGACACAAAAACAAAAAAGAAAGTTGTAGTTTCCGTCCTGCTGTCTGGCTGCTCCTCTGACCCCGACGGAGAGACCAGCCCTCCCGGGGGCCCGGCTGCCCACCTGGCACTGAAGGTCCCTGCAGGTCGGGGCCTGCAGAGAGTGGGACAGGCCACTGACAGGTGCTCTGCTGGTTGCCCGAGGACCCCATGGAACATCAGAGCAGGGCCTGTGCCCCTCTGAGCACCGGGAGGTTGAAACCAGGGGCAGCCAGGCCATCAGGCGATGGATGTACAGCAGGAGGCGAGAGGGGAGATGGAAAACTACTTGGCAGAGTGGCGGGATGTGCCCCTGCCCATCACCAGTGGTCGCAGATTTTTTTTAAAAAGAATCGTTAACGAGCCTGCACACTGCGGAGGAGACTGTCCTTCTGTGGCCAAGGCCAAGCAGGGGACCTTGACATCAGTGTCACCGTGAGGTGTGTCCTCCTCTGCCACTGCCCCCACCAGCCGCCACCAGTGACAACCTGGGCTCTTGAGACGGCCTGCAAGCGCTCCCCTTTCCTTTGTCTCTCCCCAAGCCAGGCCCCTTCCCTCAAACCCTTCGGGGGCTTCTTCCCATTTCCTCTGGACAAAGCCCCTGCTGGGTGCAGCCCACTGACCCCCACGCTGCCCCCCTCGCCCGCCCTGTGCCTTGGCCCTGACCCCACCACCCTCACCACACCCTGCAGAGCTCCAGGATCCCAGGGACCCGGTCCCTCCTGCCGCAGCCACTGTGGGACACAGAAGCCCCTCCCCCAGCTGACTATCCTCCATCTACAGACAGTGACACTGTCCCAGCAAGGCTTCTCTGTCCTCACGGGACATGGGGTGGGCTGCGGGACCGAGCTTTAGGGCTTTAGGGTCCGTCCTGCTGTTCGCTCTGTGCCGCTGAGGCCGGGGGCTGTTTTCACCTGCCCCCTCTCTGTCCCCACTGTCCGGTCCACAGCAGATGTGTTTCAGGAGTGTGTGTTGGAGGGAGGAGGAAAACCGAGTGAGGGATAAAGTGAAAATGTGTCCCCCACTTCCATGGTCGCCCCCGCCCCAGCCCGTGCTTCAGCTCAGGACGAGCCTCCCAGAAAAGGAACAAACCCGCAGCCCTTAGAGTGGCGGCTTTCACGCTGAGCTTCAGGCCAGTGAGGGAAAGGCACGGCTTCAAAGCAATGCATTTAATTTCTTTAGGAAAATGTGCACTCAGGAGCTAAACAAGAAGCCAGAGCTAGACTCAGATTTCAGCTTTCACGGGGAGGCAAGCTCTCCTGCAGACTGTGAGGCCAGGCCGTGTGTGGCCAGTGCTGGGCAGTGGCACTGTGAACCTCGCTCCTGCTTGGTCATGGTTTGAAAGAACACATGAAGGACGCACCCTCTTCCCTGTGGCTCGGTTTGCTCAGCTTTCCACCCCCTGTGTCTGTGGGCAGGGCCTGGGTGCTACTGAGAAGGGCAGGCAGAGGGGTGTCGGGGGTGGGGGCAGCTGTCAAGTCTGAACATCCTCTCGAACCCAAGTTGGAGTCCCTCCAGCTCTGTGCTCTGGCTAAAAATGCTATCAGTTGTCATATATTTTGATTCAATTTTATTCCAGAATATGAACGCTCCGAATTTAGAATGCATTACATAATATTATTTTAAATAAATGCATTGTACATTATTATGAATAATCACATAATTATTTATTCAATTAACTAAATATAGTAAATTATAAATTAGAACACCATACTGAACATACATCATTTAAATGCAAAGGTTAACTATAGTCCTGTTTAATTATATATGAACTTATGTGGAGAAAGGACACAACCCTCGGTTTAGCCCGTTTGAGTCTGTGCTTTTAAACAGAGAGGCACCGGCCCTGTCGCTGGTTCCTACACTCACTTGTCCACCCGAGTTTTGTTACATGCCAGCTGCAGGCCACCTGCAGGGCCAGGTGCCGCCGACAGGAGTACCTCACCTGCCTAGGTTGGGAGTGTTCAGACACCCAAGGTTGGGGCCCCCCCTTGGCGCAGATTTTAGCTGTTGCTGCCACCTACCAAGGTAACCAGGCCTCGCTGACGTCCCCTGCCTCCCACAGGGGACAAGTGCCTGTCGGAAGTGCCCTACGACGGCGGCGCCGGCTACGAGAAGGAGAACGAGATGATGCAGACCCACGTGATGGACCAGGCCATCAACAACGCCATCAGCTACCTGGGGGCCGAGTCCCTGCGCCCGCTGGTGCAGACACCCCCGGGGGGTTCCGAGGTGGTCCCAGTCCTCAGCCCACTGTACCAGCTGCACAAGCCCCACGGGGAGGGCCCCGCGCGGCCCAATCACTCCGCCCAGGACAGCGCCGTGGAGAACCTGCTGCTGCTGTCCAAGGCCAAGTCCCTGTCCTCGGAGAGGGAGGCGTCCCCCAGCAACAGCTGCCAAGACTCCACGGACACGGAGAGCAACACCGAGGAGCACCGGGGCGGCCTCATCTACCTGACCAACCACATCACGCACGCCCGCAACGGCCTGCCCATCAAGGAGGAGGGGCTGCCGGCCTACGAGGTGCTGCGGGCCGCCTCCGATGGCTCCCAGGACGCCCTGCGGGTGGTCGGCACAGGCGGGGAGCCCATGAAGGTGTACAAGTGCGAACACTGCAGGGTGCTCTTCCTGGACCACGTCATGTACACCATCCACATGGGCTGCCACGGCTTCCGCGACCCCTTTGAGTGCAACATGTGCGGCTACCACAGCCAGGACAGGTACGAGTTCTCGTCCCACATCACGCGGGGGGAGCACCGTTTCCACATGAGCTAAGCCCCCGCCGTGGTGGGGGCTCGAGGAGCAGCACTGGCTCCGCTGCCTCCAATGCCCACCATGTGCACAGAACAGGGACCGTGTGCTTTTCTGTTCTGTTTCTGTTTTTGTTTTTTAAAGTGGATTAGCTGCAAATTTGATTTCCTTTTGAACACAAGATTTGTATTGTTAGATGCAAGGTTACGATGCCACTCACCCCAGACGGCTGTACTGGAGCCCCCTTCCCTGTGGTTTCTAGAATGTCCTCCTTCAAACAATGGGTCATTTTCACAGAGCATCTTGTTAAAAAAGAGAGAGAGAGAGACAGAGAGAAAGGAAAGAAAGAAAAGAGGCCAAAACCTGGACAGAAAGAGCTGGTCCCAGTGGGAAGCCCCAGAAGCACACACCAGGTGTACTTTCCCAGACCCCAGAAGCAGTGAACTGCGCCTTCGAGGTGTGGCTGGGCAGGTGAGCTGCTGCAGGTGAGCGCACCTGGAGGTGCCCCCAATCCAGCAGGGCCTGTGCTGCGGGTTCTCCCGTGCACTGTGGGGCGTTCCCCGGCATCTACAGTTGCTTCCCGGAGGATGACGGTAGCACACTGCCCACCAACAGCAAAGCATCCCTCCAGACGTCGTCCAGCATACCCTAGTGAAGGACTTCTGCTCCAGATGATTCTAGACCCACCAAGGATCTGCAACGCCCTCCCAGGATAGCAGCCCGGGAGGTGTGTGCTGGTCAGTGGTCTGGAGGCCAACTTGTTCCCCTCCGCAGTCACTGTAAACGCCACAGAGGAATTACTCCCCTTCATAATCACACCTTCTCCAGTGCATTTGAGTCATGTTGAAGGGAAGGAGCCCACACAGATAGTGCCCTTGAGCCAGGGGTTTCTTTGCTTACAGAACACTGTGGCATTTTGAAACTGGAAAGAAACCAGGGGTCAGGGACCCTGAACAATGGGACAGAGAGGAGCTGGACTCTTGACAGCTTCAATTCAATGTCCAGTGACAGAGAGAGACATGCCAAGCCAAACAAACACACTGCCAAGAGCTCTCCGAGTCCCACCTGCTGGCCTGCCCACCCCTCCCCCCACCTCTCTTCCCCTCCAGCCCTCAAAGCCACTCCGTTCACGGAGCTTCCTTGTGCTCGAGACTTCAGGATGGAGCTGAACACAGACTGTGTACATAGGGCTTCCGCGCTCTGTTCAGCCGCTTCCCCCTTCTTCTCGTCGCCTCTCACAGCCAGGGCCATTTGTATTTATGTCTCTTCTGTTGGAGATTTATATTGTCACGCTGCTTTTCCTTGAAACGTTGTATTTAAGTGAGGGTGCCTTAAGGGCCCCAGGTAATTAAGTTATGTTTGACAGGTCATACACTCTCTGTGCCAAAAGCTGTTCCCATTTTCTTCTAGAGGTAAAAGCAGGACCTGGCGTGACGTCTCCCCTTTGGTCCTCGGGTGTGTCCTGTTGTGGAACGGTGCATGTGCTCAGGGCTGACGCACTGAGGACGGAGCCGCGCCTGCGTCTCCCACGCCTGCACTGTGTTTAAGATAAATGTCGGAGTGAGGCGGTGTTTGCAGGTAGAAGGCCGACCCGCCAGTGACGACAAGCATCTGCCCATCTGCCTGCGCCTGTCGTTTGTGCTGTCGGTTTTGTTTCCCTCTGTCCATGCATTTTTCTGGTTTTGTTTCAATCACATGGTGGCTCTGACGGTCTCAGCCGCTTGCTGAAACCAAAGCAAGACAAAGTGGACGGATGCGGACCAGCCAGGAAGCCAAGGCCACCCTCTATCCTTCACGTGACGTCTTCGGTTCCAGCAACACGGAAGCACCATCTCTCCTTAAAATTTGTATCGCTTTCATGTACCTCAGTGTGTGTCTGTGTTTTTTGTTTTGTTTTTTACCTTAAAAAGAACCCAAATCATCCCTGGCTGTGGCGACTAGTTTGGAGCATCTCCCCAAAGACCAAAAGGTTGCAGGTTCGATCCCTGGTTGGTGAGCGTCCAGGAGGCCACCGACAGATGTTTCCCCGCCCACGCCCACTCTCTCAGCCGTGTGTCTCGATGGTCAGGGTCTAATACACCTTTCGCAGTCAGTGTGCTCTGCCAGTCAGGGCCACATGTGCCTGTATCTGACACAGCCGCAAGTCTCCACCTGGCCCTGCCAGACACACAGACAGGTGTGTCAATGAGGAAATGCCATGGTGTTTCTGACCTGCTTCTAGGATGATGTTAAGTTATTTCTAGTTCGCTGTAAAGCAGAAGGAACACTTGGAGGAATGCCATCCCTCTCTGTACACTTTTTGAGATGCTTCTTCTGCAGTCATAGAACAAATACATGCAAAAATAGTCTGTCTTCCTATAACAGAGGAAGATTGGAACCGTGGGGGTTGGAACCCACTCCACCATTCTTTTGATGCTGTTTCTGTGAGCGCTGACTCTGACTAACATGTGCGTGGTTGGTGCACGAGCACCATGTCTGTGCAAGAATCCCAGGAACCAACTTCAAAAGAGACAGACCCGGTCCTTCAGGCCTCCCGGCTCCGGGAGAGTTGCTGACCTTTGACCGTGGGGCCGGATGACGTGAAGCCAGGTGACTGAACCAGGATGATGCGCACCTCACCGTCACTTGCCTTACCGGAATGGACTGTGCTCATCTGCACACAGAGAACTTTTTAATCCCCTCCCCTGATCTCTCTGTTCTGTTCCCCGCCCCCTCCTTATGAAAACGTCGACCGCAGTAAGAGGGGGAGACGGGCTTTGTGACACGAGTCCCCCATCTTCCAGGTGGCTGGCACCTGCAAATAAACCACTTTCCTTTCCATCAGCACCTGCCTCCCCAGTTCTGGCTTTTGCAGCGGTAGGCAGGGAGCCATGCGTGTGGTCCCATTCCCCCTCCCGTGAGTCTGGTCTAAGAGAAGGTGCTGTAGAGCCGTGGCCCCTGTGGACTCCATCACCGGTGGGGGCCAGCCGTGCAGTTGTGCTTGTGCAAAGCCTCTAGCACAGCGGGTGCCTGGGCCCTCAGTGCTAGGCGTGGGGCCTCCAGGTGTGCACTGGAGGGTGGGCGTGGGTGGCGACAGCAAGCAAACGCCCGGCTCTGCACAGCCTGCCGTGCGGTGCCGGCTCAGTGCCCCCTCGGCCAGCGGCAGGGAGGATGGGGACTGACGCAGCACCTGCCCCCTACCCTGGGGTCCTCACATTCAAGCACACACTTCGGGCAGGGCCAGGGGTGCAGGGGGCTGGTCTCTGTTCTACCACACAAGTGTGTGACTGCCAACATCCTGTGGGTACAACGTCCTCCATCCCTTTTAGAAAAATAGCCAGGCATCACGGGGGCTCAAATCTGGTAAATGAGGGGAGGTATGTCTTCATGGTACAACATACAACCCAAATGACATTATGCTTTCACGAGACACCCAGAGGCCATGAAGAGGCCTCCAAAGGCGGACGAAATGGGGAGGAGGCTGAGAAGAAGCCGCTGGTTGAGCCCCTTTGGGGAACAACTCCATGGAGGGGTGGCTGGGTGCTGTCAGAGGCAAGGGTGGGCGGAGGCAGCGGCCCTGGGGGAGAAGCCGATGGGATAGAAGAAATGAGGAAGTCGTTGCGCCAGGGGCCTGGCCTCAGCTGGGACCTGCGACTTCAGAAATGCCAACTTCCGGATGGTGTTTTCCTGGAGAGGAAGGTAAAACCTCACTGTGAAGTCCCCTTGCTTTTTCCACTTTGGGGCCAAGGACAGGAACAAGGTGGCATCCCTGAGTTCTGCCCCCTGCGGCTGCCCTCATCTGGGGCCAGTGCATGCCCCGGGGGAGCAGGCTGCCTGTCCCCTCCCCGCTCTGGGAACCGGCCTGCTGGAATGGTCCTCCTGGGCAGCAGGGCCCCACCCGGCCAAGCAGATGGGCTGCAGCCACCCAGAGAGCAGGCAGGACGGAAGCAGATGCACCCACTACAGTCCCCATGCACAGCGGGGACCCAGCCACAGATTTGCATAATAAGGATAATTTGGTACCAAAGCCGTCCCCTGAAGGGACGGCATGGATGTCAGCGCAGCTGACAGATTTCACTTCTGCTTTCCCACATGCCGTCGGGGTGACGCCAAGCGTGTGAACTGCCCCAGGAGCTTCTGTCTCTCCCTTCCGGAATGACCCCCGCCCCTGGCTCCTGCCCTGGAGGCTCTCCTCCCTGCTGCTCCTCACTCTCGGAGACGCCCAAAGGCCTGCTCACTGTGCCCCCTGGGCTGTGTCCCCCACCACCAGAGATGTGACGTCCCAGGCTTCCTCCTTGTCACCATCCCTCCGGCTTCCTGGCCCCTTGCCCACACCCAGACCCCACCCTTGAAGCCTCCGACTTCTTGTTAAAAATGGACTCCACCATCCCCAGGGGAAATAACTGTCTGTGGATGCCACCGACACCAGGATGAACAGGCTTGTCTGTGAGCCCAGTGTCGTCCCTGGGGCTCCCACAGGCCACGAGCCCGGCCCAGGGTGGAAGTCCTCAGACCCCAGAAGGGCATCCGGCCCAAGCTAGCTGTCCAACCTCTTCCAAACGTTCCGGTTGGGCCTGATGCCCTCACCGCACATCACAGCTCACTGTCCCAGAAAGCCCCCTCGCCTTGCCGGCTTCTGGACGCGTCACAAGGCAAGGCTGAGCTCAGGCCCACTTACTCAGCCTCTCCAGCCCAGCTCCCTGCGCTCCCACAGCCTGTGCAAGTCTGTGCCAGGCCCTCCTGTGGCAGCCAAATGTCACTGCCCCCGTTGGACTGTGAAGGCACAAGTCACATCTCAGTCACCCCCACAGCAAGCATGGCATCCAGAGCCCTACAGCTGGGAACAGAGCACGCATTAGAGGGGCGACCCTGCATCCTGGGTCCCTGACCCTGAGGTCTGTCTTCCCCCTTCCTAGGTGAGGACCTGGACCTCTGGCCATGGCTCTTTGATCTGAAGGCCCCTCCCCGACCCTCCCACCTGCTCAGGGCCTGGGCACACTCCCTGGATAAAGGTAGGCAGCCACGGGGCACAGGCGCTGACCCCTGGCCTCTCCTTCATCCTCCCAGCGCCCTGGTCCTCAGGCCCTCTCATGGGCTCATCCTCCAGGAGACCGATCGCGCCATCCCCCGAGAGCTGCTGAGCCGGGGCAGGAGGGGCCACGAGGTGGGGAAGGTAGGCCAGCTAGGCTCCCCTGGCCCACGGGTGTTTCAGCCAAACCTCGAGAGACAGAGGCCAGCAGGAGAAGGAACAGAAACGCTGTCATCCCAAATAATAACACCGGAGGAGGCAGAAAGAGTGGAAGACAAAAATGAGGGAAGAAAAGAGAGTGGAGGAAAGGACAGACCAGAGCAAAGAACAGATCCCAGGAGCAAATGCAGTTGATAAGCTCCCAACTGCACCAAGATTCATGGATGCTGCTGGTCTAAGCGCGCCGGTGCGGACACAGCCGTCAGCCTGGCCTGGGCGAGGCCAGCTCTCTGTGGTCTGCCAGGAAGCTGACGTAAATGCTGGACGTGCACCAAGTAAAGGCAGAGAGACGGAGAGATACCGCACCAGCCAGCACTTATCACAGGAAAGCAGGGGACTGATTTCAGACAGAGCAGAGCTCAGGCGAGGGGCGCTACCAGGGGTAAAGAGGGGCATATGCAACGGGAGAGTGGTCACATCTCCAAGGAGACGTGGCACCCCTCCCGTGGACTCGCCTAAAAATCAAGTGTGGACGTTGGTGAGGTCAGACCCGGCAGGACCGTGAGGAGAGACGGTGGACTGGCTGTCACAGCTGCACCCATCAGGACCCCGTCAGGAATGGACAGAGTCAGCAAGGACACAGCTGAGCTGTGTGGTGGCAGCAGGTGGCAAGAACACGTCAGGTGGAGGGATAGTGGGAAGATGGGCCCAGGCCTGAGACTGGGGGCCAGGAAGGGCTGGTTCTCTGCGTCCCCAGCAGGGGAAAGGGGCAGAAGTGGAGCCCTGTCCTGGTCCTGGAGCCGCCAGGCTGGGAGGTGACAGCATGGCCCTTGAAGGAAGGGCGGGGATGGGTGTGAGTGTCGATTTCAGGTAGTGAAACTCAGGCCTGGGAAGCACGGGGACGTTCTCAAGGTCACCAAGGGCCACCCTTGAGCCACATTCCCTGAAGCCCTCACCAGAGTGCAGAAGGGGACACAGCGCGGACAGGCGGCCACCCACTGCCCCCTGGACTGTTGCCACACACCTTGGCTGTGGCGCATGCAGGCCCAGCTTTCCACCGACAGAGTCAGCCCAGGTCCCACCGCCCCTGCCCCTCTTCCCTGCCACCAACACAGTGTCACTGTAGGAGGGACAGCCTCAGGCAGGGCTCACTGCAGCCAGCCTGTCCCCACTCTAGGAGAAGTACCCTGCATGTCCCCAGGTGCCGGGGCCCCTGTGTGTTTCTTGTGTGGCCCCCTCACCCCACTGGGACTCAGATGAAGACATGGTCCCAGCACGGAGATGGGAGAGACGCCCCACGTCCTGGGGGCAAAGCCCAGGGGAGAACACAGGACCCTGGCCCGGACCCCAGGCCCCAGAGACCCAGTCACTGGCTGCCACAGAAGGGCTCTCCCGTGAGCCCTTGTGAGGCTTCCAGAGTCAGCCTTTCCACAGCAGTGGAACTGCCTGGAGGTCAAGGCCCTCTCTGCCAGAAAACCTTGTAGCCAGGTGGTTGTCAGGGCCAAGGCTGGGGCATGAGTCTCATCCCGCCACCACTCGGGAGAAGAGAGGCACCTCTCCCACTGCAACCCTGCCCTGCCTCCACCCCACACCTGGTCTCGGTCTCGAGTGTCAGTGTGGACCAGGAAACGCAGGCCGAGCGCCCTTCCCAGACAGGTTCTGACTCGGGCCTCTGCAGACACTGCTGTCAGGCCAGCTGGGACCTGCTGGGAGGCCTGAAAGAAGAAAGGGCGTTCGCACTTGCCGAGCTGACGCCGAGTGCCAGGCCCCGTGCTGGGGGCGGGGGGTGCCTCATGGGAGCAGGCTCCTCGGTCTTCCAGGTGTCGTTACGTCTGTCAGCCAGCGTGGTATCCTCGGCTTGTACAAGACATGTGATGTCCCCAAAGCCACACAATGTTCACAGATCCCAGACACCCAGGGAAACACCATTTACTGCAACGAAATGAAGGCAATTCGCCCACCCATGCCAAGCCTGTAGAACACCTTGGTAACACAGAGAAGACATTGTTTCTAACCTGGAAGAAAACCCATGAACTGAGCTAATAAGCTGCCTCTGTGTTCCCATCAGGTCCCTGGGGCTGCGTGCCATCAGGGACTGCTCGCAGCTGACAGGAGGGCAGACCTTTCGCTGGACTCAGGCAACTGGCACTGCGGGCAGGGCCCGTCCAGTCCGTCCATGTGGGTGGTGCAAATCTGCTGACAGCACTGCATGCTGGGAACTGGGGGAGCACAGCACAGTTCCGGGGAAGAAGCAGCAGGATAAAGAGATCTGCAGATTTGAAGTTGGGCGCCTGGGCGTTAATGCTGGAAGGCTGCTAATTCGGAAGGAGGAGCAGAGAATCGGGGGGAAAAGTACGGCACACGAGAGGGGCTCGGTCACACTGAGCCCGTCACTCTGCAGGGATTCTTTTCAAAGTCTCATCCCAGGTGTCTGTGATGGACACAGCATGGGAGGTCAAGTTCACATTCTCAGACAAAGTGGTTCAGCAAGAATTTCTCTCACAGACCCTATTATGTTACACAAAACCCATACCAACCTGAAGACGAGGTGACATGTCCCTGGTGGTGACAGTCCCCGTGTGTCACAAAGCACATTTATGAAGCCGCACGGGCCACAGGGCCTCCAAAATACTGACATGCACCCCATGGGGCAACC